CATAAAATTTGTCGTTTTAAACATTTAATATGGCATTTAAGAACCACGATAATCTCTTTATTAGCCACAATTTTCTTTGCTCGTAAGGTGAAAACCTAAGGCAATGATAGAATTTTGTCATATCGGCATCACTTTCGAGAAGAGAGGTTTACTGTTTTCATTGATAAATATTACTTTGGTTTATTCTCATATCATCATGCACTATATCCCTCGTTTGAATGACTAACTTGAAGGAATGTATGCCTGCAAGATCACGATTTGCATTATGTTTTGAAACCACCCTACCATGCATTTAATTTGGTATAGATTTTAACCTTGACTTTCTTTTAAGTATAAGATGTTTTCCTGGTACCTTTGAATTAATATGATTATGAATCACACAGGTATCATGGTGCTGAGCACCACGAAGTAAACAAATATTTAATTATATAAAATATGAACTTGATACCAGGATGCATAAATTTTGAGCAAAAACACAGCAAAAAGTAGATATGACACAAGCGTTAAAAATAAATAAAAATATCGATGAATCTAATTTTAACGGGTCTCATTTACTTGTACTGATATTTCGTTTTAATGCGTAAAAGAAATATGAAAAATTTAAGTATTATAACGAAGAACAAAATATTTATTCAGTATAATTTTCACCTACTCCAATATTTACATTGCATAACAGGTATCTTTCAAAAATACGATCTTTATACAGTAGTATCAAGTTTGATTAGACAATTTTAAGTAGCTTTCAAGGGTAACATCTGATGAGGAAGCTTTGTTGTAGAAGCATCTTCTTCACGAAATATACATCCCATGAACACAGTAAGTTGCGTGGATTCCCGAAGAAGATACCGAATTGACAGACGTGGATTAGAATGGTATTAGGATTTCCCTTAGGGTATCAAGGCGAGACACATTTAACCAGTCGAGACGAAAAGCATAGGTGAATTCACCAATTGGTCATGGTGGACCTTCATCATATCGCCAAGGCTATAAATTACGTCCCGGACTCTCCATGTCATTAAATTAATAAAGTATTAGTATAATTTAATTAGACCAACATAATTTATTATGCCTTCAAAGAAACTGAGACGCCTTATATTGTCTTATTATAGAAACAATGGTGGGAATAGAAATTATGTATGGGTAATTTGATGAATTATTTCGATAAATCAGTCTAATTATCAATTTTTCACGTGGACTTTCTGAATTTCTGAGAGGTCGGTAAACGTGTAATCCCCATACGAAATACGAAAATGTCAATTTCTAATAGTTAAAATTCCATTTTCAAATATTTCTCATTTTGTTTTGTAGTCTGTACAGTGGGGTAGCCAGTGTTTCCTTGGCACCAGCGTCTCCCCTCTAAATACGATACGCCGCTGGGTCTGTACAGTCCATATTCGACACTTATTTGCATATTTGGTAAAAAAAAAGAAGTCTGTGAGCTATGTCAATTGCAGATTGTGCCCTTTTATGTTAGGTATGTCTGATTTAGTCTGATTTTTCAGTATTCTTTGTTTTTAACATTGAGACTACAATGACTCACGTGGTTTATTATAATGTCGCTCAAGGTATAATTTCTTAATTAGTATGTTCAATTAAATTCATCTCATTACGTCTTTGTTTACATGTATACAAATATCCCACATCTACATACAATAATATTATGTCATCGCCTTAAGGAAGGTACACATGTACTGTGTAATAATTTGCCTAGTCTTGAAATAGTGTGAACGTCAATGTTTAATTGTTTTTCATTCTGAATGCTTATTCAATATTGACATCAATAAACAGTATTCTTCATTCAAATATACTCATAAAAGAACTGCTAAACTACATGTTTAAAGGATAAAAACGTTTTTCTTTCTATTGTAACATAGTAAATATTCTGAAATTTAAAAAATAATAGGTGACTTGAGATGAACGTAAAACATTATTCATCCTGAGGTGAAGGATTTTTGCATTTCTACGTATGATTTGGAATATAGTGACGGACATTTCTAATACCGTTAGCATACTCGTTAACAGAATCTATTTCTAGCTGTCGAGTGATCATACACGCTCTGTAGGATGCGATTCTATGTTGGTCCATATAACTGGTATGATTTTGAAATCATTCTGTTCGATCGGAGTCAAGATCTTTCAGGTTATGGTCATCGAGCCGATCAATTTACTATGCAGCCAATGGTACTTGACTTTCTTGATAACAACCCTCTCTTGATAACAACCAATCGCGCAATAGTAATGTGGTTTCAGTATTTAAATCAGTAAATATGAATAGAATTGAAACTCGTATTCTAATTTATCAGGGAATTTTAAGACTTTTCAAAGCCTTATTCAATACATATTTAGTATGCTTGTAGCGATTTCTTTTAAAGTAAGTTATTTAGTTCACGAATTGAATATTAAATACATAAAGGCTTTATTTACTTATGATTAATGTTTGATTGGAGGATATTATCATTATTTACGATGATCTATCAAATAAACTTTTGCGTCGAAATTATAGGTGAGGCTTTAAAAACGCTCTAGAAAACGACCACCATGAGGAGGTGAAGGATTTAACGGTCAGAGAGTGCCATATCGCACCTTATACACCTGTAGTTGTTATTCGACCCACAATTCTTATAAGTATTGTTATGTCACCGTTTACCTGTTGATTGTATGCAATATGATGTAAATAATTAATAAAGCTATGCAGGAGATAATATAACCGTTACAATTTACATAACGATTGTCCTTGACCTAGACTAAACAGTACATTTCTTCATATCAATGGTATTTAGTAATCGACAATTCGTAGGGTTGGTGAATAGAATAACTCTTACGGAAACAAAATTGCCACATACATTACACAAAGGCCGAAAGTTTACCAAATCTCCCCTATATACTTAAATCCTCAATGCTGTTATAAATAGTTTGAACAAAAATCATTTAGGCATGAAAACGATTCATAGCATAGATGAAAATATAAATAACACGTTAACAAACCATCTAGCATCATCACAGCTAACATTGAATAACTGTAACCTATGAAACATAAAAGCTCTTAGCTCCAATTCAAGATCCCCAAAATATTGAATTTTATCTGCACTACAACTACCAATCTTACCAATATTTCTAGCGATGCCCCCACTCTCTATAATTGTTTTGTCCTCTCAGCACCCCTTCAGAGAGTCTACACATCTAATGCTTATTTGTTATATATGAAGAGTTACCTTGTTTGTATAGACTATTAAGTACATGGCAGCTCAAAGGACTGATGTTTTATCACCTTCACCCGTTCTTTTCTGGAAATGTTATCTAATTTTACAAATTATTATAGCCTCATCTTTAGTCAGTAAATTTCTGGCATAGAAATCTGTTAACCTTCTTAATATTCTGGTTTTCCTTCATTGATATAATGTTACACTAGGCACGTGTGTCAACAAACTCTAATCAGGATTAACCTCGTTCAATCCGATTAACTTTCATCTAAACTAGATTAATGATCATTATTGTTTTCTATCGTTTGAAGTAGGTTTGATATAATCGGCTTGATTAGGTAGGGGGTAAATACACTATTATTGTGTATAATTGCATGTTTTTTAATAGTGTAATAAAGTTAGGTATTGATCTATAATGTTCAAAAGTGATACGGATAGCTGCAATGTAGCTCCACAGGTTTTAAGGCGACTGTTTGCCGACAATAACTCAATGAACAATCTCATTCTTCAACGCATAGAATTGTCAATCTTTAAGCTTCACTTATTCTGATTAACGTGTTATTGTCAAGTTTGAATGCGGATTTATGTAATAGTTGACCTCATTCTTCAAAGTCTTTAATGTGTCAAAATATTTCCTAGGAACGTTATAAAGAGTTTTTGTTATTTCCCTTTGTCATATTAAAATAGTAACATGATTGTGCAATTTTATGCAACCCCGGCCTATTATTCATATGAAATGTGATCCATTCATTTCAAATTAATGCTATCATTCAAGGCATTAAACTTGCACACGATTAAAATGTGTTAGTTATAGGTGTAAAGAGAAATGCATATTCTAACCTAATGTATCTTGTTTAAACTATTCTTAAAAAACAAAATATGACAGAAAAGCTACTAGATTGTGAAGTAGGACTACCATTTTTAGCAATAAGCTGAGGTTTTCAATGTTCGCCAGTTATAACATACAACGTTAAACATGTTACAGTGTTTGAATGCACACGATAAATAAGAGTGTATGGTCATTGCAATTTAAATAAGGAAGAGGAATTAACATTCCTTAAAAATAATTTTCCTTGTCATCTGAATGTAAATGACCATGAGTGAATCGGGCCGTCCTAGAGACCATAATCGTCTTTATTAATCACGACTTGTGAGCGTGGCACATCCAGATGACACCAAGACTACCAAATGGTACCTCAGAGTACAAAGTACCAATTATGAATTTAATTTTGTAAACTATTTTGGCTTCATTTTCTACATCGTGAATATCTAATTACCTACATTGAAACTGATCCCCTTTATGAATATCATTCTGGTTTGTTTACTCTACACAAGGTCGCCAATATAGGTATAATATAGGTCTTATAGACAAAATCTTGTTTTATTCATAAAAATAGGTCGTGTACCTTTACTGACACATTTCTTTTGCAGCGCGTCAATAACTTTTTCTAGCTGGATTTAATCCAATTTTCTGTTAAGGTATTCAACATCTTGGCTTACTATGTCTCAATCTCTACGCAGATAGTTTTTGCAACTGCACCAATATGAACAATGTATGGCAAAGGTTTGAGTAATGTTTAAATATCAGCGAACCCCTCTCCATGAACTGCCAATCCTCAAGTTTGAAACAGAAGTGATTATTCAAGAAATCAGCTTGAAATATCTCTCTGGGAGCAGGGCGTTACCTTCATTTGCCTAATAGTTATAACAGTTATAACATGCATTATTATATAATAAAACGTGGGCGAAAGCCGTCCAAAACCTGCTTATAATAACCATGCAATTCCACATTTCTTCTTATTTTTGTTTTTTTTTTTTTTAAATTTTATAGGATTCACCATAATTTTGGTAACGAACCGATTAAAATGCACGCAGCTTCAAAATTTCAAAGATTACGACCCAGGATCAAGCAAAACATCAAATTCATATAAAACGCCATCGAATCTAAAACTATGACGTATGATCGAGGAATATTATTGATAAAAATATTTGACATTTTTACACTTAAAACAATATTCATTGTCTTACAAATAAAAATATCAAAAACGACACATGCCAAATCTTTTCGGGTCAAATAAGGTTCAGGGTATAAATATTTTAGTGATACTTCTTTACTGTCGCTGTTCCAATTATCATGTGGTTTTAGTACATTTGTATTGTTGTCTTTTTTATGTCTATCTCTTGTATGTGGTTTAAGACGCAATCTAAGTTACACTTGAATTTAAGTGCATTTGATGCGTCACAGTATGTACACTGGTGTAGAGTGGTGCAACCAAAGACGAGCTTCGGGATTTGCACGATAAAGATACGTTGCTGATTTTAAATGTAATTGGTTAACACATGTTACCGCTTATGGATATAACTATACGTAATATACGTTTTATCATAGCTTTTATATGTAAAATATTTGAGCTATTGGTTGTGCACGTAAGATATTTCTTGCACATGCGATGCGTAAAGAAAAACTTTATAGCGTAAAAGATACCCCAATTCATACATGTCTGTGACGAAGAGTGTACGTGTATTTATTTTCTATTCTTGATATTATAATGGCGATAATTTGAGTCAAATAAAAATATAGACTCATTTGTTATATTTGTATTCTTTTTTGCATGTATCATATTTTGATGTATACATTATTAGACCTTAGAGTCGTAATAAGACATCAATATATCAAACAATGGTAAACGTGACAAGCGATGAGTGGTTAATATGCAATATATTACAATGACTTTATTATTTTACTATAAATACAAGGCCAGTACCCAGAGGCTACTTTTTGATTATGCATAATTGTTTAGTATTTTATACTATTATATTCATATGAACATATGTTTGGGTTAAACCAGCCCACCGGAATGCATCTAAATATTTTGAATACAAATTCAAAACTATTCAGTCCAAACTGTTAATGAAAAGATAAACGTTCATGTCATAGTTAAAAAAGTGACGATAGACGAGATACAACAAAGAATTTAGATAATGGGTTCAATCAAATATTTCATTTCGTGTTTTTTTTCGATAGGTAACTTCATTTATCATCCATGATCTGACGAAATCCTTCAGTAATTTTCTCTGGAATTTTGACCCAATAGTATCAAAAAATGTCATACTTGATGCTAACCAATCAAATTTACAACAGAATTCTAGTCAAAGTTTATCTAACTAAGAATATCCCAGAATTACTCAGATATAAAGGAAATCTTTATCTGAAAAAAAACGATTTGATTAGTTGAATTAAAACCCAAAGCATGAGATGCATGACAATTACGTCAGACCATGGATGACAAGTTCAGTCACTAAGAGAAATGAATAGTTTAGTTTAGCATTATAGTTAAATTCAGAAGGGATGTTAATCTGGTCAATGAAAGGTTGGTTTGCGATCCGATGAATTCACAATTCCATTTTGTTTTTTTTTTTTTTTCAGAAATCCAAACCCGACTGACATTTGGTGAAAATCCTATAAATGGAGATTATATATCAGGGAGACTAGAGGTGTCTCTGAATGGTACGGTATGGGGAGCTGTCTGTGATGATTTCTTCAACAAAAATGCAGCCAGAGTTGTGTGCAAAAAGTTTTATTATATTGATGGAGAGGTAGGTCAATATCAGCATTTTCTTCACAGAAAATACCAAACGAAGTTTATTTTGATAGGATTGGGCACTTGAAGAGTTCAAAATTTATAGTCCTCAACAAGTTATTACTCAAAACATAATTGTCGTGATAGTCAAATTTCTCATTAAAACCTTTTACCTATTACAGGCAGTATCCAAGTCGTTCTTCAATGCAACAATACCAAAAAATATTTTGTTGGATAACGTAGAATGTACTGGTAATGAAGCCAACCTGACGACATGCAGTAAAGGGACGTGGGGTGAACATGACTGTGAACCCACAGAACATGTTGGTGTCTTCTGCTTCAATGATACTTCTAAAGGTATGTATTGGTGCCGATGTCTCAGTATTTGAATACTATTGGTTTTTGGCGCCCGTTGCTCATTTTTCCCAAATTGTCAACTTAATTATTAGTATTTTCTACGTTTTAAGTACAGTGTAGCTAAGCTAAGCAGGAAAAGACACTACAAAAGACTATGACGTTACACCTATGTGGCAAATTCTCTCCAGGTTTTTTAATATTCATGGGTGTAATTCTAATCCAAAAAATAATATATTGGGTATATATTTCAGTGCTGAAGATGAATCTGGTGAATGGCAAGAATGATGGTAAAACTCTATCAGGACGAGTTGAAGTAGCTCTAGGTTCCATGCCCTTTGGTAGTGTTTGTGATGATCTCTATACAGATAAAGCTGCTACTGTAACTTGTCAATATTTTAATTTCAAATATGGCCAGGTACGTTAGAGAACAAATGTTGTACACTGGTATTAATAATCACTGAAAGAGAATCTGTGAAACGACATAACGGAGAAACGTTCTTGTTGCATCTGGTTGGTTATTTTAAGATCATTAGATTAGCTATTGTAGCATTATGCTTCTGAATAACTGTTGTGTTGAACAAAAAATCTTCACAAGACATTGACGAAATTTTTAGTATCCATCTTGTTGATGTGTACTGGCAATTAGGTTTCGGTTCATAAAACACATTCCGTTTTTCCCTCTTGTAGAGGTTCACAGATGCAACATTTGGCCAAGGAACAACGACTTATCTTGATGAAGTGTTGTGTAACGGTACAGAGAGTAACCTTTTACAATGTCGGCATAATAGTTGGAGAGAACATGATTGTGGTAATGAAGAAGACGTTGGTGTTGTTTGCTTCAACTCAACCTGTAAGTTCTTCCTTGATTTGATAGTTTCGAGAAATGATATGCAGACCTTTCGTGAAGCAAGACGCAATTGACTCCATGCAACTGAAATGGTATCTCTTTTTAGATGCACACTCCTCAGTGTGTAAATTGTACACGTTACTATCATTAAGAAAATCTGAGATACTATTAGTTATGATTATTACTCCAGAGAGCTATATATAATTTCCATTTTTCTTACATGCTGACAAGTGTACAACCTGTTCAGTGCATTACTTGTTCACGAGTAAATTATGATTTTGACGCTTGAATCATAAATAGATATCATATTCTATTGTTAGTGTTTATTCGTTTTTAAACTTTACAGCCAGAATAAAAACCAAAACGAAAAACATCGATTATGCTGGCACCATTCAGATGTGGACCACATCTTCCGGTTGGGTTGAAATCTGTCAGGACTCCTGGGATGACGTAGATGCGAAGGTTGCTTGTCGTGATATGGGTTTTGTGGATGGTAAAGCTCTGTGTTGCTCAGCGCTCCATGAAAGTCCTTGGGGATCTTTTATCTATAATGGCGCATATACAAACGTCAGCTGTACTGGAAACGAAGAACATTTGGCTGATTGTAAAATGGTAGAATCGGGCAGATCATGTGGATTACAGAAATCTGCTACAGCGATTTGCTACAATACAACTTTGGACAATGTTAATAATAGTAGGTTAACTGAATTTAGTTTATCATTCAAATTTTTCGTTCGGATACACGATCCCTTAACACCCAATCTGGCTTATTGTAGTGTCACATGAAATTAAACGAAAAGTTAATGTCAAGTTTCAGAAATTATAACACATTTTATAATTTACAGCATTTGATGTGAGGTTGACAGAAGGGGGAGAAAACTGGGGTAAAGTAGAGGTACGTTATTTTGGTATTTGGTTACCAGTTTGTCCAAACGATTGGTCGGACGAAGAAGCGTCTGTTGTGTGCAAATCTAAAGGTTTCGCTGGTGGTAAAGCTTTTGGTGAGGTAGGAGGTGTGGATGTAACAGCCTGGCTGACCAAGATTAACTGTTCTGGCAATGAGAAAATTTTGACTGAGTGTGACATTGGTGGATGGGGTAATGTGGTTAGTAAATGTAAACCAGTTTCCGCCTTATGTTACAAAACAGGTAAGGATTTTAATATCATCATGCTTTGTCAACATTGTTTCGTTTTCGAAGGGATTAACTGATGATGTGTTTTGAGTAAATTTATTTCATGGCTATTGCGGTCAATATGATTATAATTGAAAGCTTAAAATGCACTTAAACACATCTTTTTGGTTAAAATCAAACTTTTGGCAACGATTTTAAATAACGTTACGAGATCAACTTGACATTGACCTGCAACACACATATTTTACAAAATATTAAGCCTGAATTATTCTGGTGATTTTTAAAGACGGCCATAATTCCTCCTGAAATGTTCATGCTTTGCCTATCGTGAGATTGGATCAATTTTTAAGTAAATGCTATCTCTTCTATATTATACAGGTGTCAGTCTAGAGTTAACTAATCCTGGTAATGACTTCTCTGGACGAGTTCTGATCAATTATGATGGTGTCAATGGAACAATTTGTAACACCGGAAGTATCGGAGATATCGAAGCTCGAGCTATATGTAAAGATCTGGGTCATAAAGATGGTCAAATTATTTCTACAACTGATACTGTAGATGAAACGATGCCAACTTATATAACTTTTTTAAAATGTGGTAGTTATAAAAATTCCATGTTTGAATGCTCGAATACCGGATGGAATACTGCCGATTCCAAGTGTACCAGTCACTCACAAGATGTTTCAGTCCACTGTTTTACTGATGGTGAGTGCCCGTCATGTATTCTTCTTTAGTTGACTTCATTTTGATTGAGATGGGGTTTAGAAAGAAAAAAATTCCTTTCTGCGTCGTTATTTATACGAGCGAAACGAGATAATTCATTAACATTTAAGTTTTTTATCACAAACAAGAGAATATATTGGCATTTCATCTAGATTTATTCTTTAAGTTTTGTTAATCTTCTCGTTATTTTAGCCCGATTGAACCCTGGTAGAAATGGAGTCGGTGCTGTACAGATTTATGATAGAAGTTGGCGATCTGTTTGTGGTACGGAAGGTTTTGACGACAAGGAAGCTCTAGTATTTTGTAAAGAACTTGGATATAAAAATGGTGTTGCCTTACCTCCTAAGGTCTTTGGACGAGTCTCTGGACCTCATGTCAGGTCTGGTCTTTCTTGCAATGGAACTGAAAAGAGCTTGTTGGACTGTCCCTACAATAGAACTAAAGGATATTGTTTACCATCAGGAGTGTCATACGCCAGTGTATCATGTTACAACACGCCGATTGATGCAAGTAAGCGTATTTTAATTACATAATAAGTTCTTGGTGAATAAGTGAAGATGTTTCTTGTTTTTTAATTCAATTCTCAATTATATGGTCACCTTTGAAGAGAAATACAAACCTTTATGGAAGATCTTCTTTAAAGCTAATAAGCAATAAAAGAATGGAATGTGAGAGACATTGATATTTATCTTATCTTCAGATGAACCAAAGTATAAGCTTGAAGGAGGAAGTATAGATGACGGTTCAGAGAGATCCTATGGTAGAATTAGAATATTAGGACATAATACGTATGGGTATATCTGTGATGAATATTGGTCTGATAAAGAAGCCAATGTTATGTGTAAGCAGTTGAATTTCATGGGTGGTAAAGCATATAGGTATGATGGAAACTTTGTTGGACCATTCTTCATCAATGAAATAAACTGTACAGATGATGGAAATAAGATAGAAGATTGCAACCAAGGGGAAGAACTCTGTTATGCTAAAGACGCTGCTGGAGTATTATGCTATAAGACTGAAGGTAATTCGTAAGATATACTTATTTTAAAAAATATTCTAAAATAACCATTTTTCCACCAAACGATAAACTTTCGAAAAAATTTAGAAATTTTTATGTAATAAGCACTTCTTTTTGTCTTTTTCACCCTTTTATGAAACCCTTATCATACTGATAGAAATGATTTTTTTTTTGTTCATCATATAAAATAATATCGTTAATTGAATTTGTTTTTTCTCAGCCCCTACACTGACTCTGGTACCATCGGGTTCTAATACTGGTCGGTTACAACTACGTATGGATGGTGAGGCAGGACGTATCTGTGGTGATCAATGGGATAAATACGATGCTGCCGTTGCTTGTCATCAGCTGGGATATAAGGATGGAACACCTATAACGTAGGTCTTTCAAATTTTTCATGATTCTCTTGTTTTTTAACTACTGGAACGTTGCATTCACTCTTCTTTGAGTATTTCGCGTTTGAAACACGAATTTTCTTCTTGTAAAAGCCCAGACACGAACATGGTATTTTATTACCTGTTCCAAGTGATATGAATTGTTCACAAAACAGAAATAAACTGGATATACAAGTTCTATCGAAAAATATTTTAAACAGTTGACTATTTTTGTAATTTAATAATTTCTTTTTCAGTTTCCCACCTTCAAATGGGGCTGTATTTCTCTCTAAAACTAAATGTATTGGTAACGAAGAATCTCTGTTCAAATGTTCAAACCCTGGATGGAAGGGTTATGGTGATACTGAATGCAGTAATGCTAATTCAAAGG